AAAAAAAAAAAGGTTGAGAATACAGAGTCACTGTACCAAAAAGAATTAATCGACATCTAACCATTTCAAGAGTTAGCACATGAGCAAGAGCCAATAGTGCCAATGGAAGAAATCTAAGCTGCACGGAAAGCATTGCCCAAAGCAAGGCTCCAGGAATTGATGGAGTACTAACTGAAGTGTTTCAACGGCTGAAGAAGCACTGGGAGTAGACAGCTACTTGGCCAACTGACTAGAAGAGATCCATATTTGTACCCATTCCAAAGAAAAGTGACCCAACAGAACAATATGAATATCGTTTGCAAATCTTCATTTTGCTGAAGCTCCTCCAACAGCAGTTGCAGCAGCATGTTGTCAGGGAGCTGCCAAAATTCAGGTTGGATTCAGAGAATGTGGAACAAGGGATATCATTGCTGATATCAGGTGGATTGTGGCTGAAAGCCGAGAATACCAAAGAGATGTTTACTTGCATTTCATTGACTATGCAAAGGCATTCACTGTGTGGATCCCAGCAAACAGGAGAGTTTGGAGAAGAATGGGAATTCCCAAACGCTTCACTGTGCTCATGTAGAACATGGACACGAATCAAGAAGCAGTTATGTGAAAGAACAAGGAAACGCCGCATAGTTTAAAATCAGGAAAGGTCCTCTTTTTCATGGTGTCGCGGAGCAGTCGGCTGCTTCATGATGAAGCTGAACATCTCCTCAACCACGCGCTGCCAGAAACTCATTGAAGTGGACGATGAGCGCAAACTTCGCACCTTTTATGAGAAGCGAATGCCATGGAAGTCGCGACTGAGGCGCTGGGCGATGAATGGAAGGGCTATGTTGTCCGCATCAGCGGAGGGAATGACAAGCAAGGCTTTCCCATGAAGCAAGGCGTCTTGACCCATGGCCGTGTCCGCCTACTGCTGAGTAAGGGGCACTCCTGCTACAGACCAAGGAGAACTGGGGAGAGGAAGCGCAAATCTGGCCGGGCTGCATTGTGGCTGCCAATCTGAGCGTTCTCAACTTGGTTATTGTAAAGAAAGGGGAGAAAGATATCCCAGGACTGACTGACACAACTGTGCCTCGTCGCCTGGGGCCCAAAGGGGCCAGCAGAATCCGCAAGCTCTTCAACCTCTCTAAAGAAGACGTCCGCCAGTATGTTGTGAGAAACCCAATTTTTAGGCAAGAAACCCAGGACCAAAGCACCCAAGATTCAGCGTCTCGTGACTCCACGCGTCCTGCAGCACAAGCGCCGGCGCATTGCCCTGAAGCAGCAGCGCACCAAGAAAAACAAGGAGGAGGCCGCCGAATACGCCAAACTTTTGGCCAAGAGAATGAAAGAGGCCAAAGAGAAACAGCAGGAACAGATTGCCAAGAGACGGAGGCTGTCCTCGCTGAGGGCTTCCACCTCTGAGTCTGAGTCCAGTCAAAAATAAAATAGAGCCTTGAATAAATAAGCTCATCCATTAAAAAAAAATCAGGAAAGGTGTGTGTCAGGGTTGTATGTATCTCACCATACTTATTCAATATGTATGCTGAGGAAATAATCAGAGAAGCTGGATTCTATGAAGAAGAATGCGGTATCAGGATTCGAAGAAGGCTTATTAACAACCAGTTGATAAGCCTCGCTTGCTGAAAGGGAGGAGGACTTGAAGCACTTGCTGATGAAGATCAAAGATTGCAGCCTTCAGTTTAGATTACAACTCAATATAAAGAAAATGCATAGCTTCACAACTCAACCAATAGGGAGCATCATGATAAATAGAGAAAACATTGAGGTTGTCAAGGATTTCGTCTTGCTTGGATCTGCAATCAGTGCTCATGAAAGCAGCCATTGAGAGATCAAACGACATGTTGCATTAGGCAAACCGCTCCACAAGACCTCTTTAAAGTATTGAAAAGCAAAGATGTTTCTTTGAGGATGAAGGTATTTTCCAGTTACCTCATCTACAATGTGAAAGTTGGACATTGAATAAGGAAAGACAAAGACAAATTGATGCATTTGAACTCAAACGATGATGTTGATGAAGCCTATTGAGAGGACCATGGACTTCCGAAAGAACAAACACCTCTGTCTTCAAAGGAATACAGCCAGAGTATTCCTCAGAGCCACAGATGGTAAGACATTGTCTCGTGTACTTTGGACAAGTGACCAGGAGAGCCCAGTCCCTGGAAAAGGACGGCAGACATCATGCTTGGTAAAGAGGAGGGGCAGTGAGAAGAGGGAGGACCTCGATGAGAGGAATTGACACAGCAGCTTCAACAATGAGCTCAAACATGAGAACAATTGTGAGCACGGCGGGGCCAGGCAGGCAGTCTGAGCCGGAGCCGACTCAACAGTGTCTGACAGCAACTGAGAAGCCTGGCCCCCGCCAAGCGGACGCAACGCCCATCACAGTGTCTGTGTAACACTCCCCAAGATAGAATGTTTTAGCTCTCTGGAAAATTCACTTGTGCCCTTTCCAGTTAATTTCACTTTCTTCCTGACTTCGATAAGCATTCATTTATTTTACCTATTCTTAGACTTGGTGTAAATGGAATAATATAGCATTTTTTTAAAAATCTATCTTGGCACTGCCACTTTTTGAAGGTTACAGGCAAATTGTTTTGTAGCGTGTCTCTTAACTTGACTTAGAGTATGTCTGATGTTTTCCCATAGAGTCAGGAATGCCACAGAAGCCATACTGTGCCCTTCTTAGTACATAATACTAGGAGACACATACACTTAATTGAATTACTATTACTAGAGATGATTTTGTTAAGTCAGATCCTCTATAAATTTACTATTATTCCTCTTGTAATTAGAATGTGTCTTTTGTTTAATTTTTTAAAAACCGTTATAGGACCATTTAGATTTTGATCTTCATCTTGTGTCGGTTTTTGTTTTATAGGGCTGATGCCTCCCAGGGGTCATTAAATCTTTATAATGATTGTGAATGATTGTGCTGTGGAAGGTGAACACACTGAGGTTGATTTGAGGTTCCAAATCTTAACAAAGACCTTAATAAGGAAATTGTTAAGTTGGGGGTTTTTTGGTTGGGGTTTTATTGTTTACCGGCAAGTGTACAGTTCCCCCTTTTCACTACTTGGTAGAAGTGCTAACATATCTTGTGACTTTACCCGTTCTACCACACTCACGGACAGCCATCTAGTCCATGCTGACTCATAGTGACCCCCTGTGGGTTTCCGAGACTGCAACTGTTTACTGGAGTAGAAAGCCCAGCCTTTCTCCGGAGGAGCTGCTGGTGGTTTTGAACTGCTGACCATGTGGATTGCAGCCCAACGTGTAATCACTACACCACCAGGGCTCCATTCATAGCAATCTTGTATATGGCTTTTGAGACTAACTTTTTTTTTTTACTAATTTTACTGGGGGCTCGTACAATTCTTATCACAATCCATTCATATATCCATTTTGTCAAGCACATTTGTACATTTGTTGCCATCATCATTCTCAAAACAGTTTCTTTGTACTTGAGCCCTTGATATCAGGTCCTCATTTTGCCTCCTCCCTGCCCGCTCCCCCCTCCCTCATGAACCCTTGATAATTTATTAAAATTATTATTTTGTCATATCTTACACTGTCCGATGTCTCCCTTCACCCACTGTTCTGTTGTCCATCCCCCAGGGAGGAGGTTATGTGTAGATCCTTGTGAGACTAACTCTGGATGGAATCAGGCAGCTACAACTTTCTTCAGGACGGCTGAGGCTAATTTGACTGGTTTTTAAGACTGATTAAAATACATTCTGAAAGAGTATATTTGGAAACTCGATGATGAAAACACAATAGAACCCATTCTCTGAATTACCTGAAGTCTAGTAATGTTAATTAATCACCTGGAGTCCCAGTGGGCCAGGAAGGAGCCCTGGTGACCAGTGGTTAAGCTCTGGGCTGCTGAGAAGTTGGCATTTGAACCGACCAGCTGCTCTGGGTAGAAGATATGGCAGTCTGCTTTGTAACGATGTTATACTTGGAGACCCATAGGGAAGCTGTGCTATGCCTTACAGGGTCACTGTTTGTCAGAATCCACTTAGTAGTTATGGCTTTGGTTTGTGGATGGGCCACGGTCTGTAATAGATCACATTATGCTGGGTGTTTTTCTAGCACGAACAGGGCTCTGTCATGATGTTTGATCACCTGGTTGAGTCTAATGGACTCAGAGAAGTCATGGAGCACTACGGACTTGTCCCTGAAGAAGACATTTGTTTCATCAAGGAACAGATCATAGGACCACTTGAATTCTCAATGCAAGAGCCTACTGTGAGTGTCTGTACAGCTTCATTTGACCCGAAGGATGCTTTTGATCTTGTCCATCACTTTTTCAAGCTACACATTTGCTTATTGTAGAGACACTAAACAATAGACTATTATTTCTACTGTTGTTTTGTTAAATAGATTGTCTTATTGGGGGCTTTTACACCTCTTATAAGAACCCATACATCAATTGGATCAAGCATATTAGTACGTGTATTGCCATCATCATTTTTAAAACCTTTTCTTTCTACTTGAGCCCTTGGTATCGGCTCCTCTTTTTTTTCCTCCTTCCAGCCCCCTTTCACCCTTGTGAACCCTTGATAAATTATAAATTATTATTGTTTTCTATTGTTTAATGCAATAAAATGGCACCTTTTTTTAACCACTTAGCTGCATTATTTAAAAATTATCCCACTAAATTAAAAGTATTTGTGAGTCTTTTTTTAAATGAATGTGTGCAGTATTTTACATTGAAAAGTTACAAAGTAAAAAAAAGTTACAAAGTAACCTTGTTTAGAAATGTGTAAATATTTATCTTATCTCCTAAGATTGACTTATAAAATATTTAAATTCATGAAGATAGAAAAAAGTTGGATGGCTTCAGATAGAAATAGGTTTTATCTTTTTTGTCTTCTTTTTCTGTCTTTTTAAACTTTCTTTTCTTCTTTAATTAAAGAATTTGGAAAAGAATTTCCCTCTGAGATTCTGAGTGCTTTATCTCAAATATATACCACTCTAATGTTAGCATGCAAAGTAAGAGGGAATTAGCAGTCAATATGACATTACAAAGAAATGGACCTCCAAAATGTCCTTGTACAATTTGTATCATTTAGACTAGATGTATAGCTACTTTTAAGATAGTCCTATTTGGCATTTATGACTTCAAGTTAAAGCACCTTCTTCACACTTCATAGTTAGATCTTTCATTGCATACAAGGAAATTGTTAAACCAAGAAAACACAGAGCTTATTGGTTGTGGAAGTGTGACAGTTAGGATCCCTTCCAGGTACACAAGAAGGCTTAGTACTGATGGGGTATCATGTTTCACGTCAAACATCTGTTTATCCTTTTTTATTAATGCGATCATCCTGACTAGCTCATAGATAGGTCTGGTTCCTCCCCTAAAACTTCCCTTGGGGTTCCTTGTCTTCCAGTGGACCTACAAAGGGCGGCCTGAAGAGAAAAGCTTCCTCTATGAGATAGTGGCCAATAAGCGCAATGGCATTGATGTGGACAAGTGGGACTATTTTGCCAGGTGGGCACTGAACGCTTTATACAAGTTTGTTGGGATCCTTATGCACATTCAGGGCTCATATGTAAAGTACAATTTCCTTGTTAAAATTTTTTAAATCTCTTTCTCTTTTAGGGACTGCCATCATCTGGGAATCCAAAATAATTTTGATTATAAGCGCTTTATCAAGTTTGCCCGTGTCTGCGAGGTGGACAAGAAGAAGCACATTTGTACTAGGGAAAAGGTAAGCTTTGTCTGGGGAGACAGTAACGAGGGCGCAGTTCCTGGTCTGCAGTCTGGAAATAACCATCCAGTAGTTTGCCAGATTCCGTACCTGGTCAATACTGATATACTGAGCATCGGTTCGGTTCTTAGGGCTCTTTTCGTTGTGTTTTCTCTTGCACTGTTAAGTAATAAAAGTAAAATGGTAATTTACTGAGTGTTGTGCTCGGCAGTCTTTAATTGTTTTTCACCGACTCAATTCTCATAACTGAATGAGATGGGGAACTAGTATTATTATTCCACTTACCAAATGAGCACATTGAGGCACAGGGAAAGCATACAGCCAACAGGTGGGAGAAATGAAGTTTCAACCCTGGTACTTTGGCTCCAGAGCCTCATCCTTAATTACTGCATGAGTGTTTCAGAACACCTAGCACCCTGAGCTCTGCAGGCCACCACTAGCTTACAGAGGTGTAACGAAAGAATAACATAGTAGTAGTCTATAAAATGCCTCTGTGTTGTGCTGAGAATGAAGGCTATAAGAGTCATGACACCTATTTCCTAGAGTTATTAAGAGGATTAGCCCCCAAATCAAACCTACTGCCATAGTAACCTTTTATAGGGTTTCAGAGGCTTTGTCGATCCTTGTGGGAGCAGATAGCCTCATCTGCCTCCCATGGAGCAGCTGGTAGGTTTGAACTGCCAACCTTGTGGTTAGCAGCCCTAAGCTTACCCAGCAGGGCCACCAGGACTCCTTTTGGGAGGAATAGGGGAAGTATTAGATCAGAAGTGGTCACAGAGTTAGAGCACTCAGTAGATTGTTACTTTACTATTTATCAGCCTGAAAGTTGCATCCCAATAAATGACTTTACTAAGCTGCCTGTCTGGTGTTCAGTGATTTTCAGTAGACTCGGGTACTCCAACGTGCACAGCCTGCTTGTCTGCCCCCAGGCCTTTTCCTTCTCTCACAGACTGGCCTTCCCACAAGATGAACGTGCTTGGATAGTACATTACTATGTTTTATGTGTTTTCCTACAGGAAGTTGGGAACCTGTACGACATGTTCCACACACGCAACTGTTTGCACCGCAGAGCTTACCAGCACAAAGTTGGCAACATCATCGACACCATGTGAGAAATGAGATGTCACACCCTGTAAAATGTTCAGGATGCTTAGCTCGAGTCTCACGGTTGGGCTGCTGGGGACTTCTGGATAAATCTGGGTGAATCTTAAAGGAATACATCTAAACGGTGTTCTTACCCATTAAATGGTGTCCTAAGCCCCTCAGGACCTACTGTTAATTAGTCACGATTAGCCTCTAAAACTATTCAATAAATTTGCTTTGGAAAATTGAAAAAAAAAACCACCTTCAGGACCAATAATGAGAGTAGTGATACCACATGGGATAGAAAGGGGGAACCAATCACAAGGATCTACTATATCCCCTTCCCAGGGGGATGGACAACAGAAAAGTGGGTGAAGGGAGACATCAGTCACTGTAAGACATGAAACAATAATAATAATTTATAATTATCAAGGGATCCTGAGGAGGGAGGATAGGGAAGGAAGAGGAAAAAAATAAACTGATACCAAGGGCTCAAGTAGAAAGTAAATGTTTTGAAAATGATGATGGCAACATATGTACAAATGTGCTTGACACAATGGA